CTACAAGAGCGCTGACAAAGAGTGTAGCTCATGAAAATTCCGCCCCACGATTCCCCATCTCCGCTCCAATATGCGCACGCACTCCCCCAGCTGCCGGCGCTATTATTCTCCAATTTCAATTTGACACCCCAGCCTTTCATGCTAATTCTATTATTGTAGGAAGTTTATGTGATTTCATATCACTAGAAATCGGTAATGTATAATAACCCTTTGGGCAAGAAACCCAGTCCCCGCAGCAGCCACCGGAAAATAATTACTTTCATATCAAAACTCTGCAGGAGCCCAGCGGCCCGGCCCTCGCAGCCCCCGGCTCCGTCACCCCGCGCCGCGCGCCCTGGCGTGTGCCAGAGCGCGGGGGCGCGAGGGGGACTTTCGGGTTGTGAGCGCTTGTGTGTAGCGCCAGGTAGGAGGGGCAGGGAGGGGAGGGCTGGGGAGGGGGAGCTACGGATGCATAAATTTGTTCAATCAGAAAACACAAACACATGCACACAATAGGAAGCATTAAGCTCAGACCTTAGAGGGGGGTGCAGAGCCCCTCCCTGCCCCACAGGCCGCCTCGAGAGGAGTGGAAATGGAGGGGAGGAGCGGCGAGGTTGGGCACCAGGAAATTTAAAAATGATGGACCCAGAGCTTGCGTTTGACCAGCTTTATTTATAAAAAATGGTACATATATAAATATTCTTAGTCATTTTTGCATTTTACAAGGCTGAGGATTCTTGTTGTGGGTTTTTGTGGGGACTGTGGGTTCTTTTTGCTCCCTCGGGAGGTGGAGGGTCTCACCCCAAGACCTGTGGTTGCTGCCTAGGTCCTAATCAATACAGCGTTTCTGTTTGCCTTCAAAAATAACAATAAAAGGAAGAAAATAAAAGAAAAGAGGGGAAAGCAGTGTATCTAGAGCCGATCACCTGATTTGATGTGTGTCGGAGCCTGAGCGAGCCGGGGCAAGCCTGCTAGGCGCCTCTCCCGGCCCCGCTCCCCTCAGTCCATGTCCACCTCGTCGCCGTCCGGCAGGCTGGGTCCGGTTGCCTCGCCAGGCTCCGGGGCGACGCAGGTAGCTGGCTCCACCGTAGGGCTGGGGGCCCGCAGGCCCGGGCCAGAGTCGGACCCGGGCGATGGTGCAAGCGGCGGGGGTGGTGGGGCCACGGGGCAGCCGGGCCCTGCGTCCACGCAGTCTCCCGCTCCGCCCTCGGTCGTCACTGCGACCGCCACCGAGGCTAGGTCCCGGAAAGGCGCCGGCGCCTGGGCCCCTGGGGAGGCGACAGCGTCGGGGCTACGGCGTGCAAAGGCCGAGTCCGGGGCACTGCTGGGCCCCGAGAAGGCCCCGAAGCTGGCCTGTGCCGGTGGGGCAGGCGGTGCAGAGGGCGCAGGCGGCGCGTCCTTGGGTGCGGGCTCCGCGCCCGCACCGCCTTTGAGCGCCGTTTGCGGCACCAGGAAGCCTAGAGGCTGCGTGATGGGGTAGAGCAGGAAGTGGCCCTTGCCGATGAGGGTCCGAGGCGCACAAGGCAGCCCCGGCGTGAAGTCCAGCCCTGCAGCAGCTGCGGCATTGGCTGGGGCGGTTTTTCGGCGTGGTGGTGAGTCGGACAGCAGGCTCTCCACGCTGAACGGGCTGGCCTTGGGTAGGCCCGCGGCCACCACTGCCCCGGGCCCGCACGAGGCGGCGTCCTTGTCCGCAGGGCGGCCTAGCCGCGGCTGCGGGCCGGCGCTGCTTCTTTGGCTCGTGTAGAAGGCAGGGTCGCAGGTGCCCGGCGTGGGCGGCTCTACCGGGGGTGCGGGCGCAGTGCCTGCGACGCCCGAGGAGGCATGTGCTCCGGGGCCCTTGACCACTGCGGCAGCAGGTGGTGGTGGCTCTGGTGGCTCTGGGGACAGGCCACCACCGCCACTGTCGCTGTCAGAGCTGGGCGCGCTGTGCAGAGACAGCCCGCCCGGTGAGTGCAGGTGGCGACTCTGGCTCTTGAGCAGCTTCTTTTCGTGTTTGCGCTTCTTCTTCTCCATTTTCTCCAGCTCCTTGCGCGCAATCTCCTCGGGGTCCATGGGCTCGCCGCTGCATGTGGTCGGGTGCGAGTTGTGTGCTGGCCGCCCTGGGCCCTTCTTGGTGTTTTCTTTCTTCCTCCACTTGGCCCGGCGGTTTTGGAACCAGACCTAGAGTAGCCGAACAGAGGAAAGGAAGGCACCATCAGGCAGCAGGCCCGCCGCTGCCGCTGTGGCCCCCACGCGCCCTGGAAGGCCTGCACACCCGGCTCAGCCCTGCTGGCCCTGGGCTTGGCTTTGACACTGCAGGTTCCAGCGGGCGTCTTTTCCACCCAGAAGGAGTGTGCATTGGGCCTCCAGGCCTGCTTCTGGCTCTGGCTTCTCATCTCCATACCTGAGGGCTGCGCCCTTCCCTCAGGCAAGGCTGTGGGGGCCAAAACAGAGGGCTGCAGGTTCCTGTAGCCAAACAGAACAGGGCCCTGCTTGCCCTTCTCAGCTTCTCACAGCTCGAGGTCTAAGCAGCCTGCCCAGCCTGATGATGGCAAGTCCTCTGGTCGCTGAGTGCTTCACTGGGCAAGCACCCTCCACACCTGTCTTCGACCCCCTGAAGATTGTCAAAGTCCATACTCCAAGGTCTCCCATGAAGGGAATCAAGATGCCTCTTCCTGGGCAAGGCCTGGCAATCTGATGTGGATGGGCCTTCTGCAGCTCCCTCCCCAGTAAAGCTACACATCCTTCTTTCTGGGGGTCTGGACCAGGAACCCACAGAACCTTCCCAAACCAGTCTTGCTTGGCCTGGTTGGTAGGGCAAAGCTGAGGCCCATTCTGCTTCGTTCTGCAGGCCTTGTCCTGAGGAGCTGCTGTTTCCAGGGAGGGAAACAGCAGCCCTAGACCCTTGCTGTAACCAGGGACTACCATCCAGCCAAAGTCAAATCCCTGCTGGCCCCACAGAACCGAGGGCAGCACTACTCTCCTCTAGAGAGTGAGAAAATTCCAATTCTTTGTTCTGGTCAGAAGACACTCAGTGTAATAGCAGGCCAGGCCTGATGGCAGGGAACCTTGTTTGGACAGAAGATCTAGGCATTAAGCGGAGACTCCGAAGGCTGCTCTCTTTCTCCTTTCTTTTTAAAAACTTTTTGTTTGTTTGTTGGATATGAATCCAGGCTACCCTGACATCAACAATTACTCATTATCATATTAGGGGAGAGATGAAGGGATCTTGGCTTTACTTAAGACACTTAGAACAAATTGGATAAAAGGATTTCCAAACAGCGCTGATCACAAAAGGAGGGCCCAACAAAGGACCAAAACACTTTTTTAGGCAAGGATTTTGGTGCTAGACAGGTGATTTTTCCAACACCTATTTGAAAGCCAGGTACCCAGCACTGCATAAGGCACCCCCGATATCCCATAGACCCCAGAGAAAGGAGGTTTCTATGATCCAAGGAAGCATCTAATTATGCACACATCATTCTGAAATTTTAATACACTAAATTGACTCTATTTTTTGTTGTTCTTGTTTTTTTTAAGAACACAGTTGGCTGGCTCCAAATGTAATCAAATAATTGAGAGATGGAAGATAGAAACAGAAAAAGATAAAGCCATGGACGTATTAAAAATTCAGACATCTCTTTTTTTCTCTCTGCGTTCTCTAAGTTAACCATTTAAGTTTACACCTCCCCTGCCTCAGCTGCCCCTTCTACAAAACAATGAATAAATCCATGTTCCCATCTGAATATTTCACAGGCGGGAGGTAAACAGGCAGATCTGCTCGCTGTGGCTGAGGGACCCTTCTGGTGAGCGAGCGGAGGGCCGGCACAAATTTCGCTTGCAGCCAGGGCCGCGCTGGCCGCTCTTCGCTTATCCGCGCAGCCTCGGCCAGACCTCTACGCCCGGCCTCCGCGAACTCACCGCGCCGCTTCCCGGTTCACACGCAGCCGCTATTCTGACTGCTTTGGTGCAGCCACCAGCCCACTAAAGCCACCTCGGGCCTCAGGAGGGGCCCAGCCCCAATGCTACCCCCACTCCTTTAAGCCCGTTGGGAGAGAAGAGTGGGCTCGGAGCCTAGAATCGCATCCCGCCGCCTGGAACAAAGGCGCGCGTGGCGCTCTAAACGCCTGGCGCGGGACTGCAAATCCGGGAGGGACACGAGTCTTTACCTGAACTCGGGACTCGACCAGGTCTAAGCGCAGCGCCAGCGCCTCGCGCATGAACACGTCGGGGTAGTGGCTCTCGTTGAACGCCTTCTCCAGCTCCTCCAGCTGCCAGCCGGTGAAGTTGGTGCGTGTGCGCCGCCGCTTGCAGCCCGGGCTCTCCTTGTCTGGGTCCCCCGAGTCTGAGGGCGCGCACAGAACGCAGCGCGGCTCAGCCACCGGCCCCGACCTGACCCTTCCCTCCCCGCTGGCCACGCCGTTCTAAGGGCGCACGGAGAAACAGCCGCGCGCGGGCCACCCCTGTCCCAGCGGTTCCCGATCCTCGCCGCGCGCCCGTCCTACCTGACAGTTTGAAAGGCTGGCTGTCGCCGCCGACCCCGCAGGCGGCCGGCAGCAGCGGCGTGGGGTTGACCACCGAGGCGGCGGCCGCGGCGCACGAGCCGCTGAGCAGGCCGTCGATGGAGAACGGTACCGACGCGGCAGCGGCGGCGGCGGCGGCAGCCGACTGTAGCTGGTGGCCGGCCAGCTCGTACACGTGGTGGTGGCCCAGCGGATAAGGGAAGCCCACCACGCCGCCCAGCGAACCCCCGAACTGGGCATGCGGGTGCTCCAGGAGGCGGCCGTCCATCATCTCGCGCGGGGGGCCGGCGGGGCGCGGGGGCGCGGGCCGGGGCCGGGGCGGGCCAGCGGCGGGAGGCGCGGACGGCGGCGGAGACAGGGACCCCGAGCCTTACACATGCTTCGCCCGCACTCCGGCGCTTTACTTTATCAACATCAAGCTCCCGATAATTAGCCGCGGCCCGGGGAATTTGGGACCAATAAGAAGCGCTAATCGGCTCTGACGTCAGAGGCGTGCTGGGTGCAAGGAAACGTTTTCCATATCGATTGCTAATTATACCTGACATGCACCTCAATAAACAGTATCAGGAACTGTCACAACAAGACGGGGGGGGGGGCGGGAGGCGGGGGAGGGAGGGGCGCCGCCCAGCGCGGGGCGGGCGGCTCGGAGCGGCCGGGCAGGGCCCCGGCGAGCCCCCAACTCCAGCCCCCGCGCGCTCCCGCCCTTCCGCAAATCACTAATAGATTTCCCTTTAAAACATTCACCGGCGTGTTGTGGGGATTTTTCACCAGAAATGCTGTACTCTGTGAACCTTTAAAGTGATGTTGCTCCAATTACAGAGAGACATTGAGCGGCAAATAGACTGATCCAATAATAGGAGATTCATCATCCGCTCTTTCCGAAACTGTCACATTGAATTTAAAACTACAAGGGCTTCTCATCGCCTCCTCTCCGACTCCAGGCGGCGGGCGAGAGGAGGAAGGAGAGAGGAGGAGAAAGAGGCGGAGGAGGAGGGGGAGGAGGAAGAAGAGGAGGAGAGAGGGACAGAGGAGGAGGAAGGGGAGGAGGATGCTTCCAAAAGAGAGTGGCTGGCAGAATGTGGCCCAGTCAATAAAGAGGCTTAATCAATGCCCTCTTTGATTGATTGGCAGTCACCTTATCATTAAAGAGAGGAGTGGGGTGGATTGAAGGGGCACACTAACCCCATCTTTCTCCCACCTCATAGATCCCCTAGACTACAGGGCAGAGGAGGGAAGAGTGAAAGACGGAAGGGAAAAGTAACTTTGAGGTGATGGCCTATCATAACCCCCTACACACGAATTAAACAATAAATACATCTCCCTTTGACTCAGCCTCTGAAGGATGGGGCTGAGGTACCAAGCACATTTATTATAATTATGTTCTCAGTGAAGTGTCACTCCCTTCTTCACTATAAAATATTGATAGACTCAAAGCTAAATCATTAAAGGACATATTCTTAAATAAGCAGTGAATTGGGACTGAGCAGAAAGGAACTCGATATACATGTGTACATATATACATAGGTACATATGCAAACTTAAATGTCTATAAGTTTGTCATGGGAAGATAGCATCTTGCTGACTCCCAACTCATGACGGTGGGCTCTTTGACCCTCTCCAGCAGCTCCCTCGGCCCAGCCTGGCCTCAGTAGGAGGAAGAGAGCCCCTGGCCAGTTCCAATTCCCTTTGCCAGTAGCTTCACGCCCTAGGGCAAAGCAACAAATTGGTTTTTGGTGTAAGTGACTTGGGCCAGGACTCCGAGTCCCCAGTGGGTGGAGGAAGAGGGAAGAGCTTGCCAGAACTGTGCGCCCCAGGCTGGTCTGTGCCTATCCCTGTGTGTCTGCCTGGAAGGGGTGTAGGGAACCGCTGCAGCTGGAGTGAGGAGAGGAGGCCCCTCACCCCGGCCAGCTTTACCCCCAAACCACCGGGCTTCCTGCTATTACTAGAGTGCAGCTGGACCAGATCTTAACCGGAGGGGGCTGGCTGGGGTGCTAGGCTAGCAGCAGACCTCCACGTAATCACTGTCTCCTCCTGGAAAGAAGGGATGGGTGCAGAACTGGGGACAGGCCTGAAAGGCCGTGGAGGCAGGAGGCAGCAGGCAGCCTGGAACATGGGGACCCCTTTCCTGGTTTCGCACTAGGTGGACGCTGCAAGTGTTAATTCTGAGGTCAGAGGCCAAGAGCACTACTTTTCGCCATAATTTAATTTCTTTCTCTATAAATACTAAACGTAAACTCTGTGCATCCGGCTCGATCTTGCCCGTAGCCACGACTGCCTGGTTTTCTGTCCGGCTCGCGAGCAGGAATGCGCGCGGCGCGTGCTTCTGAATACCGAGCTGTGATCAATTCGGCCCGAGGGGAGGGCAGAGGAGGGGCGAGCGCCGGCCGAGCTCCTCGCCCATCTCTCTTTATTATAATGAATTAATTCGACTTTATTTATCCCATTTTCTGGAGCTGACAGAATGTTAATTTGAGTTGAAATTTCTCTCGCCTCTCACTCTCTGACCCCTGGCCTTCAGATTGGCGTGTTGTAATAACCTGAATCTTTCAACAGAGGCCCTGATAATTGTTACCTTATTAGCATGCAAATTGTTTAATTAATATTATTATGAAGAAGCACACCATCCGTCCGTCACTTGACCTCAAGAGCGAGTCCGCGCCGCAGCCAGCTCCGCGCATCTCAATGCGCCCATTTCAATCGCCCTGTGTTTTTAATGTGCTCGGCCCGGCTCGCGCTCCGAAAATCTCCTCGAGTGTTGGAGAGGGGCCTTTAATGACGGTGGGGGCGGCCTGGACGACCCCCGCCCGGCTCGAGAGCTCTTCAGAGGCCCTCGGAGGCGGTATCTCAGCGGGGAGTCGCTCGGCTCCAGCTCTGCGCACCCCCCCCCCCATTTTGAACATCAAAATTTCATAATTGCTTCCTTGTCAATTGCTGCTCCTGGAGCGGTCGCTTTAAAGGGCTCCCCCGCCCCCGCCCCGCCCCGCCCCCTCCATCGCGGCCCGGCTCCTCCAAACAACTC